CCTTTTAATTTTTTTTTTACCCTGTTTTAGTATTGTATTCCTATCTTCTCTAATTAACTACTTGCAGTCAGCCTTTTCCTTCAGTTACTTTGCGGCTTTCCACTTTAACTTTTTTCTTGCCGCATGCTTTGTTATTAGCATCTTTGGATTTTATGCAGCGACTAATGTATTTTTCTTAGCTGCTCATTAGAGTCGGGAGGGAAAGGTTTTGCTTTTCTAATTAACTGCAAGGTTTTATGTTATCAAATTTTTTTGCTTTTAATCCTTTTTGCAATTTAAAAAGCTATTTTAAGGCAATTTTTTCGGTGGGGAGGGGTGTTGTGTACCTGTCTGCTATCTCCTTCTGCTAGTTTTCCCCCTCCACTTGTCCTTGTTACCTGATTGGTTTATGATTCGTCTGTCAGCTGTTCTGTCACGTGACACCTGTTTACCTGTCGCTTCATGCTTGTCAAAATGGTCAGTCTTCGTTGGAAACCAATAAAGTCCAGTCAGTCTAAAACCTGCTCTTCATTCGCCACCCAAGTTACAACAGGCCAGACTCATGGCCCTGGCCAGGCATGATCCTTGCCGCCGAGCCCGGCTCCGTGGCGTCAACAAGAAGAGGAAGTCCATTACGCGGGCGGTCAGGGGCTGCCGCGTGCGCTACCAGTGGCGTGCCCCCACCCACCCCCTCCGCCATGTCCTGCGCTTTGACGTTGGGCGAAAGAAGCAGGGACGCCCCTGTCACCGATTTGAAGAGTCCCTCCAAGAGGACTTCGAGCGGCTGGGCCCCCCGGCGGCTGGCTTGGACGAGGTGGCCCTGCTCAGGGCATCCTTCGTTTCACACGTCCGGGATGCTCTCGACGGGGACGTGTCCTCCGAGGAGCTGGATTCTTCTGCGGACGAGTGGGACGATGATGTTCTCGACATGCCTGCTTTGGTTGACGAACAAATAAGCCTGTGCCCAGTCTTTGCATGTATCCTTTATTTCTGCTTACCGCCTGCTGGTGGTTTGCTTTGGCCTGCACGGATCCTTTATTCACGCTTACACTGGGAGGGGCGGGGCGGGGAGGGGGAACTCCTGCCTGGCCTAAAATCCATTCTTGCGCATGGTTCCCATCACAGCGACCTTCGCGCGGAGTCGTTGGAAACTCCTCGACGTGTATTTTTATTTAAGCTGCGTTCCGAATGGCTTCACTCCTGAAAATGGAATGCCCTACCCGTCATAGTGCTATGCAACGACTACTTATATATGACGCATCATGAAATGTGGAGGGCGTTACAAGTCAGGACATCCAATATCAGTCTTAATTTCCGGATTGCAGGTGCTTAGTATTCTCCACTTCTATGCTACCGGCGGATACCAGGCGACCGTTGGTAGCCAATGGCTCTGCTGCCTCGGGAAGTCCACAGTGAGCCGCTTCTTAGAGGAGGTAACAAATTCTCTCAATGAAAGGGTCGTCCAGCAGCGATGAATAAAGTCTCCTCGCACGCTGCTGAAGAGAGCTCATTTGAGAGATAGGTAAACAAAACCGATGCCCTATAAACGCACCCCAATGCGGGCCTGCTCCGGACGTAAATCATTAAAATATATTCTGGCTACAGTGTCATTGGAAACGTTTTATATTGCAGGCACCTAGAGAAGTTCGGTATCCCCGGAGTTATAGGATTCGTCGATGGCACAGAGGTGGCCATTGTCACTCCACCTCGAGACATGAACCCCCAAGGATTCTGGATTAGGAAGCACCACTGGCGCTATCCGCGCCAACTCGACAACAAGTGACCCAGTAGGAATTTCGATTTTTCTATGCTAATCGGTGTTCCTAGAGGTCCCACACATGACCCCGAAGGAATTTTGTCGATATCTCAAGTGGGGTGGGGTG